CCACCCGGCCTGGCCTCGAGTGTGACCGGCCAGGCTGGCGGGGTCGGGCCGCGGGGCAGGGGCTGTTCCTTCCAGGAGGACCCCGTGTTCTGCTTGTCACCTTGACTGCACATCCTCCCTCGCTGACCCCATCCTTGGCAAGTGGCGCTCTGTTTAATCCAATAGCTTGCATCCGGGCCTCCAGAGCAGCCCTAGCAGAAAGGAGGGGGAGGAAGAGTCCAAAGCTGGGAGCAGGTGGACCCAGCACCTTAGACTTCAGCCAAGTGGGAGCAGGGAGCGAGCCTGCCATTCTGCCCTGACCGACCTCCTGCCCGCACTCCTGTGGCTAGCTTCTTCCTTTCTCCGTCCACATCTTACTCGGATGGTGTAGCAGCTAAGGTCTCCTGAGTGTGCAAAATGCTCGGCCTATGCTCTTTAATTTAAATGTTGATCACCGCCCTGCAGATGAGAAGCCCCAGCCAGAGGGCTGCGTGGCCTCTCGTGCATGGAGCAGTTCCAGCCACCACAAGGGGACAGTTCAAACTGAAGCTCCGCAGGCTGAACCCAAGTGGTTGTTAGGGTTCCATTTCCAAAACGGACCCTGCCGTGCCCTTTCCCCAAGATTCTCTTCCTTTGCCTCCTGCTTGTTCTCTTCCCTCAGACGATCTCTGTTGGGCTTTCAGGCCCGGCTCGGGGCTGTCCCTCCCGCAGGCTTCCTGCCTCCTGTGTCCACCTCAGGGTCTCAGACACTCAGCACAGGGCACAGGTTGGAAATGAACTCACTCAGGGTGCCTGCCACCTCCTGGGAGGCACAAGGTACCCGCACGAGTCAGTCCTCAGCGTGTGTCCCAAACTGCAGCCGATGGAAAACACCCCGTGATCACGGAGAGGATCACATCTCATATCTCATCAGAGGCTCTGGTAAACCTGGCAAGACGAAAGCCCATTAAACCTGAGGTCCCTCATACTGCCTCGCCCACAGAAGCCCCTTTTCGTGGGATACTCAGCCACATTACCATAAATGCTGCCGTGTGGATAGTGATAGTGACTTAAACAGGGAATCTAGGAGGGGCACAGCCACACCAGATTTAAGGAGTCAGCCTGAGCTAGCAGCACCAAGGTCACCGTGGACCGCCTGGCCAGAGAGGACTTCTGGAAAGAGGGTGAACTGAGCAGGGCCCCCAGGAGGTCACAGCAGGCCAGTCGCTTATCAAAGAGCCCCGTGTCATGCACAGCCTAGCTCAGAGGAGAGGACCTGGCAGTGTGGCTCATGGGACCCCACTCCACATCGAACTTCCAGCTGTCTCCTCCTCCAACCCCTGAGAGTCCCCTCCAGAGTGGGAGTCGCCCCTGTGAGACGCGACCCACACACATCGGTCACTCAGACTCCACCCAGTGGAGCTCAGCCACTGGGAGAGAGATTTTTGCAATGCGCTTTGAACAAATGAGCCAGGGCAGAGCCTGGGCAGCACCAGCAACTCCAGACCTCAGGTGCCAGCCCAAGACACCCGTCTGCACTCACCCGCTGTCCGTGCCCGTGTGTGGGGTGAAGATTTACACTCCAGGGGCCTCTCACGCACCTCTGCCCTTCTGTGTGTATTTCTGCCTCTTGAGCCAAGTCTCTGAAACAACTTTTTAACCCTCTGAGGTGTGGGTGTTGAGTTCCTCTGCTCACAAGGGAACGCCCCAGGAGCAGGTGACTTTTTTCCTTCTCGCCCTCTGCTTCTTTCCTCACCTCCCTGCTCTGCCCGAAGTCTGGCCACAGCCCGTCCCGAGACCTGGTAGGAAAGCATCATCTTCAGACAGTTAAGGGCATGCAAGTGATACAGTGAGCACCTGCCGAAGAGCCACGGTATCCACGAAGGAGGGAACTGCTGGCGATGCAAAGATGCTGGGAAGAAACCCCCAAGATCCCACAGCGTCTGTGGAAACCAAAAAGAGAGCGCTGGAAGAGACGGCAGGAACCGCCACACGGGACCAACGTCCCATCCAGCGAGGAGACCACGACCACGACCACAAGCCCATTTCCGCCCTTCCTGCCAGACAGAGACCGTGAGCTAACGGTCTGGGTGCTAACAGTTTGTGACTCACCTCCCTTCTCCACCATGTGCGGAAGGAGTCCTGGTTCATACACGGAGAATATGTGTTTCCCTGGGGCATACAGTGAGCTTCTGAGAAAATGATCTAAGCGGACAGTGAAAAGGAACAGGACTGATCTCATTTACCTTTCTTCTGCTTCGCATGGTTTTCCTTAACAGTTCCTACTCCAGGGGGTGCTGAGAATGGCCTGGGCGGGTGAGCAGGTTCTCCTGTTTAGTCCTCGACTGTTGGAGGGGAAACGGATGCGCATGGGGAAGACGTGGAAAGCTTCTCACAGAGCCGCCTCCGTCACCTGGGGGCAGCAGGCCTTGGCGACTTGTCCTTCGGGAGCGTGGGGCAGGGAAGCCTGGGTGTGTGCGGAGCGCAAGGTCGGTGGTGGGGCGGGCGGATGCGGGAGGGTGACTGAGTCCCCCGGGGTCGGGGGAGTGTGGGGCAGTAGGAGCTGCAGAAGGCACTTGGAGGCGGAGGAAAGACAGCGGGGAGCAGCTGCAAGGGGCGGAGGCCAGGGAGGATGGGAGGAGGTGCGCGGAGAAGGGCGCACGGGTGTTGGGTGGCGGGACGGGCAGGCTCAGATCCCTGGACCGGAAGGACCGGAAAGGGCGGCCAGGTCCCTGGGTCCCTTTCTGAGCCGGCTCTGGTCCGTGGGGCTAGTGAGCGAGCAGGCCAGCAACAGGGCGACAAGGGGAGGAGCTGGGCCTCCCCTCCCTCCCTGCCGCCTCCCATCTTCCCTGGCAGGGGCCCCAGGGCTGGGGCTCATCACGGGAGCCAGTGCGAGCCCGTCCCCTACCACCGTGCTCTCCCAGGGACTCGGCGAGGTGCAATTCGCAGGCTGAAGGCTGAAGGGGCCCTGATGGGTCCCGGGACTGCCACTCGGGGCGGGTGCATCCTTCTCAGGACCCTCCGTTGCCGCTTCCCCACCCTCTGCATGCCCACTGTGTGCTCAGAGTCTGACCCCACGTCCTGTGTGTGCCACTCAGTCCACAGGACCCTCCCTGCACGGTTGCCTGATTTGCGAGCTCGTTCAGGGAGGAGGAGGAGGAGGCGAAGGCCATGTGAGCTGAGGTGAGCTGGCCACAGGGAGCCACGAGCAGTGCCCACAGCAGCCCGCCCGACCCAAAACCTGTGTCCCTGTCCTAAGTCGCCAAGGGCGGTGTTTCTGAGGTTTGGCTTCAGCTAGGATGTCAAGTAATGAAGAATGGGGCACCTCAGCCTAGGAGAGTCCTCAGAGGACATACCTGGTAGGTCTAATAGCGTTACATTTTCCCCGGAACCCCCTTCCACACATAAAAAAAAATCACACGCCCCAAAACAGAACTGAGGTGAAGGAAAGGGACTGCAGGCGGGCTGGGGAGATGCTGTCATCTTGCATCTTGCAGAATTCCGCACTTTCCCTCCTTGCCTCTCCACCCCGTCACCCACAATATAGCTCTCTGTCAAGACACCCTTGGTTATATGCAGCAACCAAAACTGCGCTATTAGCTTAATTGAGAAGGGGTGATTATAAATACATTAACACACAGAGCTACCGAAATTGCTATTAGTCTAAATGGAGACGGGGTGATCACTCATTTCCAGCTGCTGCCTCACTCAGAAAGCGCTTGTGTGGATGGCCACAGAGAAGCCGTGGTCACCTGGCAACCCGAAAGATGCAAGGACGAGGCCCCGCCAGGCTGGGCTTCAAGGCCAGAACTCTCCACCCACCGGTGCCAGAGAGGGCAAGAGTCCCTGCGGCATGTTGTGTGGGGTCCTTACAGCCCACAGTGAGCTTCCTGGAAACAGAGCTGGAGAACAGTGAGGTTAGCAGCTCTGCCGTAGGGATCCATATGTGATATGTTACACGTGTGTGCTGTGTTTCCCTCTGCCTCTCCCCCAAAGTGATTCGAGGTGGATTTTAATCCATGCTCACAACACAAAATCTCAGAAGCGTAGATAGTACAGAAGAGGAAGACAGCGTTGGGCCCATTCCTCCCGTGCCCGCAGGTAACCTCTGTCTGTTGCGTCCACCCTCCGTTCTGTACCTTCGCATACCCCTCTGCCGTAGTGGACGCAAGACACACAGTTTGTATCAAGTGTTCGACTTCGCGGTGGACAAACCTCAAAGCACCTAGATGAGGCACAGAAAACCTGAGCAGAGTCACTAGGGATGCGAGGGGTTCCAGAACCAGTGTGAAGCGGGATCCACCACCTAAAGGAGCTCTCTGTGTCCCTGGTTTCCTGCTTCGACTCTCAGATCTCCACTGGCCACCTGGGTAGGACCAGGGCACCTTGAGGTGCTAGATCCGTCCTGAAGGACTCTCCCGTGATGAACTAGCAGCCCTCACTGAACCAGACATTCTGCCAGCTGTCTCGAGCATGCAGAAGCCCCATTGTGTTCTTCAAGGCTGACCGTTCAGATTGGCAGTAAAGCCCTTTCCTCTTCACTGACACACAGCTCCCAATACCTACAGTTAAAGGAGTAGAGGTTTACTACGGCTTGGATTCAGAAGTCCCAGTCCTTGCACGGTCACCTGGCACCAGGGAGGAGCAGCACGGTGGAAAGGCCCGGGTGGAGGAGAGCTGCTAACGAATGGCAGTGGGAAGAGAAGGGCGGAGCCAGGGAGGGATTTCGACCCCTCCAGGCCACGCCCCAGGGACCTGCTCCCAGCTAGGCTCCGCCTCCCCGCAGCTCATTGGTTTAGAACTGACCCATGGACTAATCAGTGCCCTCTAGGATCCAGTCACCTTTAAAAAGCCCTGCCTGTGAGTGCATATGGCCTTTGGGAGACATTCTCAATCCAAACCATAATGACAAAGGACACTACCTTTATATGTAAATGTATGGCTTTGAGTGCCCAGTATGAAACTGTGGACAATAAGTTTTTATTTAGACTGGCCACAGACTGGTTCCTAAAGAGGTGTGCTAGTGCTGCTTGAAACCAAATTATGGGGACCTGTTTTCTTACCATGTCATGTCAAGCAACTCACCTTTACCCAGCAGAAGCATTGCTAGACTGGGGCTCCAAGGTCTCCACTTCCTAACAGTCCCTACTTCTGATTAATGACACAAGAGAGAGCAGCCAGTTATGCTGTGTAACAAGCATGCCACAGAAGATTTCCTAACTAAATAATCCCTTACTATCACTGGGATCTATACAAAAAGTGTATAGCAATTTTATTTAATCATTCTAGCTTGAAACATTTCTATTTCTCTATTTTCTATTTCTATTTCTCTAAAGCCATCCTGGGAACAAAGTTCTCCTCCTTTTTCTTCTTCCTTTTGACAAATGCATGGCATCCTCTCTGTGTACCAAGTCCTCTGCCACAGGTCTCTTAGTTGAAACGGCATTGTGTAAAAGCTTTGACCTCCGCTCTCTGGAATTACTGGTTGGCCCTGGGATAAAGAGCAAATAAACCAACCAAACAGCCAATCAGGCAAACAAAATGAAAGCTATATTTCAAAACCAGGGAATATTCATCTTTTTTTTGCTCCATGATACCACCTGCCTGGTTGATTCATTAATGTTGTGTGGACAGAGAAGTCAAGCTGAAGAAACCAGCTCACAGAGGCTGACAGTTACTGAGGTGCAGCAGCAAGACCAGAGAACTGGGAGGTCCCAGTCCTGGCCAGGACATCTCTGAGCCATGGCTTATTCTGGAAAGAAGGAACTGATCCTACCTGACAATAGCTGGCAGTTGTAAACTAAAAGAAAGAACATGATTATACATTTTTATAAACAAATTAGAAATAAAATAATTTCCTAGCTCATAGGGGGTTGGAACATAGTAGATGCTCGATAAAGCGTGGCTTGAAAAATTGCCATAACTGTGAGCAAGCACACGCTTGTATGTCGCGAAGTTGGGAGGCAGCCACTGGGCAGAAAGTAAGCGGGTATTGTGCATCTTCCTCGCAGATGTCTGCCCTACTCATTCTGCCTGATCCAGCAGGTGTGGAGTTAGAAATGCGCTGGGTGAGATCTCTTTCAGGCCAGGCGGGGACACCTGGAATCCGAAGACGGGGAGGGGCTCGCTGAGTGGCAGGCGCTGCTCAGAATGGGTCCCTCACAAGGTCGGGTCGGGCGCTCTCATCTCACATTTCACCGAGACTTTTATTTTATATTTTAAAACACGCTGCTCTACCTCCCAGTCTTTACTTCAGAGCTCACCCTGCATCAAACTGAAGTTTTATTTTTATTTTAATGGGACTTTCTCGCTAATCAGGAGAAGGAGACCTGCACAGTCATGACCCAGAAGGCCACGCGAGCCCTGGTAGAGGAGCCCGGCCCTCCTTCCAGAGCCCCGAGTGACTGAGCACCCGCTCTCCCTTAGGGCTTCAAGGACCCTGTGTACCGAGCCAGACGGAAGCACTTTGCTGACATCGCATACAACTACCGCCAGTGAGTTTCACCTGCGGGGGGAAAAGAGGGGAAAGGGGCCCCAGGATGCATGGTCCTGCTCTACGATGGGAGGCACCAGCCTGGCTCCTCCTGCCTTGTGTCAGAGGGAGAGTGGGAGGGAGGAAAGAAAAGAGGGGGG